TAACACCAACACAAGTGGAATGGCTGAAAAATCATCTCGGGGAACTGCTGGGATGACACTCCCAATGTAACACGATATAATTTAAAGTTAGCCGCGGTCACAGCTGCGGTCCAGAAATACAGAAATCTTCCTGCAGGTTTTAAAACTATGAGACTCACTTTCAGAGTTTTCCTTATAAACGCTATCTCGTACATGGCTAAGCTTTTCTTCTCAGCGGTACTATGAAAACGAGCGATGTGCTGGCGCTTTGGTGGAAAAAACTAGTTCCATATCTTCCACAGCAGGCTGTCATGAACGAAGCGCCCTTCTTCTATAATGCCTTTTGAGCCACCTTTCCCAACTCGTGGGCGAAGCTCCATTATTGTAGATGGCAAATAGACCAGATCTTCAAGAGAGCAACGGCAAGAATGATTGAGTTAACCAAACTTACGCTGCATTTGTTACTAATTATCTGCTAATCTTATGCAAGTGACGGAAAAGGACTATTGAGGCCCTCTACGTCAGCGTGTCAACAAGGGCTTCAGCAACCTTCTTATGATTGCTGATTCAGATCATTTGAAATAAGGTTCGCTCAGATTAGCTTTTAGAAATGCAGACCAAGCTGCAATGGCAAACTACCTCAAAGAAAGATATTTAATATCAACAATATGGTTTAATTTTGACGCTCTTTATAATTTCTCTCCTTTGAAGATCATTGTATGCCCTTATAGGAAGAACGGCCAGTTGGGCTTTTTTCGCTAACAAGGAAGCATTGCTTGACACGAGATAAGCGAAAGATGACATTTGCGCTTGAAGCAGGATTTCCTTCATATAAATGCCAACTCCAGAGTTGATTTTCTAGTCGATCTTCTCATAGAGCAGTAAGAGATTTGGCTGGATCGGCTAGAATTAGTAATCTTCAAGATAAATCTTTGGTGCAGTTTTTACGCAAAAGGACCGACGACGTTTGGCTGCAGCTTCTTATGGTGTGCAGCAGAATTGCGTATGTCACCGGTGGGCCATCAAACATCACGGAGACAAGCTATAGAAAGTCAAGATGATAGAAGAGAACGAATGGCAAGTGAAAGGGAAGAACGAAGAAGAGATACTAATCAGCTATCAAATTAGATGCGCATGTTTTCTCGCGTAGAAGAAAACGTCCATTGTCCTCTATGTAATGTTTGCGCATATTCCTGGGCTGCACATGTTTGGGTAGCAGAGCTTAATTAATTGTCTCCACAGACATGGGGAAATTTTACGGACAACCACTTGCTTCCCTGGCCCCCGCCACTTCTACTGCGCAAAGCACTGAAGACGTTGATGGGTTGTACCAAGTAGTTAAAAGCGTAATGCCTAATTTGGAAACAACACCACCTACTTCGCAAGCAGTCAACAAACCGAGCGCAGGGATCAAAGCCAATTACCGGTTTTGCCACAGTTTCTGCATATGTTTCTTCACTTACTTTTCATCGACTATATTTTCACGCATCGAAGCATTGAGCAAATGTCGCTCAATTTCGGCAAAGAATCATTGTCTGTACATACGTGCGTGGGTGAAGAGGGTCACAACAAAGTCTTGACAGGCAGGGGTGGGGAGAAGGAGGGGGGGATGGTTAGCCCTAGTACCACTAATAGTAGATTCTATGCAATTTGTGTTCCGTAAAGAAGTAAGAGATTCGTTTGAGAAGATTCAAAAACTTATTGTATGAATTTTTGTAAGTACTCCACCGCATATAGGGACAGGCGATTGCGAGGGAAATGATAGTATACATATTAAAAACTATTTGCATAATCTAATTATGATAATAAGTTATGCATAAATAAACTGTTTTTACAGGAGAGTTGCTAAAAGAATGACTTTGACAAAAACTATTATATAAGAAGATCCATCCAAGACTTTCTTGGGTTTTTTCTGAAATGAAAAACTGTTGTTGTAGCTGTCGTCAGTTGCGGGAGTATAAACTAAAAAGAGAAAAATCACCTCTTTCAAATGTTATATAATATGTAGTATCTCCATCTTGTAAAAAAATACCTAGAATTGTATTTATGCCAGTCTCGCCACTCAGCTGCGTTGCCCATCAAAAGCTTTCTCTGTAAGCAGCTGCTATGAAGACGGATTGGTTTGAGAGGATATTAGCAATATTGAAGCAACCTCCCTCAATAAAATAGCAAAACTTCAGAATGAACAGATTTGATTTGAGAAAGATCCAAACTTGCAATTGGATCCCGTCTCTTGGATAAAACCGTTTCTAACTTCTTTCTTTGAAAACTGAACGCAACAATAGAGAAATATACAAAATTTTTATATTCAGAAAATATATAACTTGTTAGAGGAAACAATTTATTCAACTTTGTGAGGGTGGGTGAACGTATTTGTACGGCGGTATTCAGGTACCGTAAGAACATCGAAGGATGCCGACGAGGGAGCTGAATATCGCAGTACAAATACATTATACACACCCACCCTCGCAAGATCAAACAAATTGTTTACCCTAAAAAGTCATATATTTTCTGATAGCGGAAGATACGAGGACTCTGAATGCGGCTTTAATGTTGCAAAACATATCCAAGAGAAATTACAGACGGTTCTATAAAAGAGACGTGGTCCAACTGCAAGCATGTCTCTAAAATCAAATCTATTTATTGTGCAATTTTGGTATTTTATTGAGAGAGGTTGCTAACACTATATTCCGTAGGGTCTATAGATCTTCAAACATTTCGTTACTGTTTTTTCACATGTGGAGATGAGACAGCATTTGAAATTGTGAAACGCGAGAGCCAAGATGTCTCAACTTTTGAACACCATTTTTGTGAGTCCCAGTATCTTTCAGATGGATGGTCACTTAGATGAGTGTGCTCCTTAGAGCTGTCCTCATAAACTTTGTATATTTCGTTGTTTTGTATTGCATCTTTACATCACGATAGTGTTGTGTTAAGGAACGTTATGTTTTCACGCAAGCTCCTCCAACGTAAATGTCCTCACCCTATTGACCTTGAAGTTGGAAAAAAAACTTCAATCATTCTAAATAATCTCAAAGAAAAAATGGAGGAAGAGTTGGATTAATATTGTAACTCAAAACATATTCATTTCAGGATTGTTTCCCTCGAGGAAACATCAATAGTTCAGTTGCAGCAAATGGAATGGTCATTGTTATCTGGCAGTTAACTTCCGCGCGATGATTCTTGGGATACAACGGCATTATTGGCACCGACTTGGTCCGCTACATTTAAAGCAGCATTTGGTGATATTTGAGAACCCACTTAGCGAAAGAGTATATGCTTACAAGGGAAGAATACTTGATCGTAGTGGCAATTCAAAAAAAAAGGTGCATCCTGGTAGACGTTGATTGTTGATGCTGAGACGCTGATTCCAAAGCCCGTAGTAAGGTGTCCTCAACAGAGATCACCTGAACACAGAGTCAGGTGAACTCGCTCCACTTCAGGCAAGGTACAGGGGAACAATTGATTGCAAAGTCCACGACATGCGCAAAACTTCAACTAGGCTTTCATGACTCAGTCATGTCATGTGTAGGTAGTTTAGTGATTAGGCGGCCACTGAGCAACTGACCATGGTATCCGCTCAATGGTAAACTTTTTTGCCAAGTGCACTGTAAAGTTGGAGACAGAACGGGTTCGAACCAAACCATTGATTAGGAGCGAATCTTGGGTAAATCACTAGCAAAAGTGTGCACTTTTGGATCGGTGATGCTCCACGTCTGACGCAAAAGTACATATTGTTAGGGGAGGTCGTAAGTTGGTTCCGAGCAACTTACGAGTTCCCCTGAAGGACTCTTGTAAGACACACACTATTTCCTTTGCATGACACGTCAGGAGAACTCCTCCTTAGGGGCTCAGTTCATCTCATCGCAGGACCTCGCATGACCGTGATCCCTCTGCGAACGGAGCTGGACTAACCCCGTCAGGTCAGATCATCTCACCTTACGGGAACTTTACTATGGGCCAAAATCTGGCTTCGATAGTGAAGCGTTTCTTTGGAAGAAGCTATGAAAATTTTTCTATTGTGAAATCAGCCTGTGCACCTCGTCAATAATTGCTCTAGAACATCATCAGCCACCAGAAACAACAGATAAGGAGTTATGTCATGATTAAAACATGATTTTATCCATATTAAGTCATTGCGCTGCTGCTTTGGCTCGTTTGGACTTCTGAAAATTTTAATCCAAGTCCTGTAAGCTAATTTATTAGAGAATAGGCTTATTCCAGAGAAGCGCTTTGCAAAAAGGGAAGGCAGATAAAAAAATCAGCGTTTCAACTACATTTCAGTGTTTAGCTCATTTTAAGTCATTTCAACCAAGTGTCCCAGTACTGAAATGCCATCGTTGGATGTATGGAAGTTGAATGAAAGAAGAAGTTTCGAGGTCTAGATTTTTAATTGCTGTAGTTCGAAGAATAGGCTATGTTTACTTATAAGCGCTAAGTTTGTCTGTATGTGCGTGTGATTCTCCGTCTATCACGAAATTAGTTCATTTGTCCTGAGAAAGTCAAAGAGCAGTCCTCAATTGTTATCGTTTTAATTGCAGAACACGGTAAACATGAACAATTTTGTTCTGAAAACGTGGTAAGTTGGTTGTTCAATTTGTGTTACTATGAGCGGGCTCTACGGTCGGGATAAATGGCCTGTGCATCGTCCCTTCAAGAAAGTGTTGAGTGGTCAGATAAACTTTCAGCGCTTTTGCAGAAAAGCTCTGTTGAAGAGTTCTGATGGTTTCAAGTCACGTTCAAAAAAACAATAGATTTAATTCATACATAAACAGTGCGGACCTCTGCAAAGGAGAGGTGAAGCACTGGATTTACGATGGCAGTCTGCCTCATTGTGCATTGCAGCTCTCTAATCTTCTCAAAGCTTTCCGAGATATCATTCAACTCTAATACTCGCTGCCGCTCAACAATGATACGAATGCTGCTCGATTTTTAATTGTATTCCAGTATTGTGATAGCATTATCATACGCAAGTGCTGAAATAAAAACTAGAAAAACGAGTGAGTCTCATTCTATAGATCATGTGTGCACTTAGATGGCTGACTGACTCGATTTTAACTGTGCGTTTTGCACTTTGTTTGCTTCGAAAAAGTTGCAAAGTTGTCTTTCAGGTAGAGGCTCCATTGATCGTCTCTTATATTCTATGCATAACTATAGGTCTAGTAATCTTCTGCGCAAAAAAGAAAGGAGTAACCCATGCTTCCTCAAAAAGCAATGTGCCATATAGCTCGTCATCGTCCTCAGCATCTGCTAGACGTGCTGAAAAGAAGGGGGCTAAGGCGGCAAAAGGAAGCAAAGAAGCAAAAGGCACAGGTGGTAAGAAGAAAGAAGGTATTGCAGCTTCTGCTCGTATAAGTGTCAGAATTGATAAATGACATTTAGGCGCAGAGGCAGTCGTTCCAGCACCTTCCTTAAAAAAGAAGCCAGTAGAACCCGCCAAAGAAAAGCAAGAAAAACCAACGGCAGAAGTAAAGCCGGAGCAGGAGCCAGAGCCAGCAGCAAAAACGGCTCCGTTACCATTACAATCAGCAACGCGGCCAGTGGAACAAACAGCGATGGATGGCGAAGCATCAAAGGCCAGATCGCTAAAATCGGGTTTCTCTGCCCTTAGCACTCTGAGTAAGTGAGCTGTCACAATTTTCGTTTTCGAGTC